CATCAACGTACAGAGGTCTAACACTGGGGCTCATGTCGTTACATGAGATGAACCTAAATTTCGTTGAATCTGTAGATTGATGACGGAGGGAGGTGAGACAGTCATTACTGTCTCCTTACTATTTTGAACCGAACGTGGAGATCTACAGTGGATTATTCTGTTCCTTTTTTATGAATTTCAAACTGCTAGTAAAGAAGTTGAGCATTCGCTGCAGTTTGATGTTGGTTTCTGAAGTAAATTGTCTATGCTTCCGCCCGAATATTCGGTCAGTAGATGGCTGCATCCGCCCAGCTCTTATCATAAAGGTCCTGCTGTTTTTAGGGTACAGCTATCGGAAAATGTCCCAAAGCCAAACTCTTTCGAGGTTACATCGAGCTGGAGATACAACTTCGCGAGTTTGATCGCTGCAGACGTCTGTATGAAAAGTTCCTTGCGTATGCACCGGAAAATTGCACAACTTGGATGAGGGTGAGTGCTTATTTTACCCATTTTATATTGGGCAGATCATGTTTTGAAGGGTTTTGACCAAAGCTCATTCCCTCTTTGTCCTTTGTTGGACTTCCTGACTCTTCATCCCCTCTTATCTGGGTTTTTATTACTACACTGAAGCAGTTGGGGAGACGTTACAAAATAGAAGATGAAACCAAGACAAATTGTATCACTTAATACCTAGAGGATGAGTGCGGTGCAAGCATGTAAACATTTGAAATTAGTGATTTTGGCAGTTCGTACAAACCGTACCTGATAGGTGTATTCATCAGGCATACTCAAGCGCAGCGCCAAAGTCTCCACCCTTCGGTCATAATCTGACCACTTATTTTATGCTTTCAAGGGTGTCGAGTTCGAGCACGAGGAATAGCGAGATAGCTGCCTGTCTACATGACTTGCGGCCCAATACGCATCCACCTCCTTCGATAGCACCGATTTTCTCATATTTTGCATTTAAAACATCTGAAAGTCAAAGGGAGCCGAGTTCTGAGGAGTTGCTCTCGTGATCGACACAGCAGTATTGATTCAACACGTTCGTCCTAAACTCCTGCCGTTTTGTAACCGGCTTGTCCGTGTCAGTTTCTCACTAATCACAACGCAACGAACGTTTATCTGGTCATCCTCTTTAAAGAATATATTTTAATTTCTGTGGGGAGTTACTGCATAACCAGTCATGTAGCTGCAATTTTTTCATCTTTATGTTAAGTCGCCATTGATCGATGGATTTTTGAAAATGACCGACGTTTACTTTGTGCCGCGATCGCAAAATTTCCAAGGGCCGTGCGGCTGGCGCTTTCGTTGTTGTGAAT